AAGGAGGCCCTAACCCAGCAACTCGGGGGGGCGCCTCTGAGGGCCAAGAGTGCCGCTGGAGTGCAGGAGCGCCTTGAAGAGGCTGATCGTGCTGGCAGTGGGCAACCCTAGCCAGCTGATCCTGCTCCTGTCCTTCCAGAGCTCTCGCAGAATGGCTGGGGCGTCGCTGGCCTACAGGCCGGCTTAATGCCCCCGCGGGTGTAGGGAGTTTTTAAGAGACTGGTAGAGTGAAGCCGAAGCTTGCCAATCTCTCAAAGAGTGGCTTGGCTGCCGAATTCAAGAGTCGAACAAGCAGGAAAAGCTGAGAGTCAGCCGTCCCAGGAAGGGGTGGAGTATGTGACTTCGCTTTCGCTCGCAGTGGATGTCTTGACTGGAGACTCTCCGGTTTCCTCCTGGGCATGCCTCTCATCCGAAGAGTGTCTTGACTGGAGGCTCCATGGTTTCCTCATGGGCATGTACTTCGTCAATAGGTGCGTTCGGCTCGTCAGCCAGGCAGATAACAGGGAAAGTTGGAGTGTCTCATGGGTGTCTCGGAGACCGGCCCTAGAAGCCGCGTTGACCCCAGAGGCTCAGTGGACCCCAGTGGCCCCCACCCCTCGCCGCAGGCGAGTAAGTCCAGGTATCCCTCACAGCCCAGTGATCGCGGCCCGGTGGCTACTCGGGGCCGTCCTGGAGCATGCCAGGTGCGGGCCCGGGCGCCCTCGGAGCAGGGCCGCGCTGTCTTGGGCGCCCCTTGGGCCGTCTTGGAGCCATCTTGGGCCGTCTTGGGGCCCTCTTGGGGGCCTCTTCAGCCGTCTTGGGATTCTCTTGGGGGCCTCCTAGGCCGTCTTGGGACGTCGGAAGTTCGAAAAGGCGAGGGCTCGACAAACCTCGGGAAACCGTAACAACACATGCCTATCGAGGGCCTCTTGAGAAGGCTCTTAGGGCTCTCTTGGAACGTCTCGAAGGCCTCTTGGGCGCCATCTTGGGCCGTCTTGAGGTCACATTGGGTCGTTGGGGGGCCATCTTGGGCCGTCCTTCGGGAGCGCGAGTTTGTTGCAGTTCGCTAAGGAGTGTGGCCTCTGGAGTGCGAGCCTGTCGCATTTTGCCAAGGGTTCTGGCATCGGGAGGGGGCCGGTGCATGCGGCGAAGTGCGAGTAGAGGAGGGGGTCTCCCTTGGTGTTGCCACGAGTCCGCTGCTGCTTGCTGTACACGCAAAGCTGGGCGGACAAATCCTGCCCCCCAGGACAGACAGACGCTAACAAGAGAAGCTACCAAAAGACCGCCTCCACACGCCTCTGAGATGCTCAGAGGCCTCCGAGGATTTTCAGGTGACCTGGAGGCCCCTAGTCTCCCAAGCCACCGGCCTGCCAGCCGCAGCCCCTGACCCAGGCCAGTGGAAAACAAGCCCCTGATGGTCGCGCCCGGCCGCCTTCGCGGGCGGGCGCGCGCAAGGCGGCGGCGAGGGGGGGTGCTTGAGAAGATTACAATTCAGGAGGGGAAAAAGCACACAGACACAATAAATCATCGATTCCCAGGAAGGTATCGGAAAATATAGGAAGTGCGGGGGAAGACGAAAACCCCGAAAACACTGGAAATAGGAGGAATACTGAGATTTGTGTGTGCTCATTCATTGGTGTGTTGCGTGTCCCTGGGCCCCTTCCGCAATGCCCCGCCAGACAGCCCTCGGCATTCCAGCGCGCCTCCGCGTGCCCAGGGGCACGGCTGCGGACTGCAAGAGGCGGAAGTTAGCGAGCTTCAGTGCCGCTTTCGGGTGGAGTGGAAGATGCAGGGGGGGGGGAAGGTCCGGGGGCAACGATAGGGGCGGGGGGGGGGCACAGGGGAGGACTCGACTCCCAATCGCCCACTGATCGCCGACAGGGGCCCGATGGCCCCAACCTGCCCAGGAAGGTGCGGATTCACTATCGGAGGCCGATCGCCGATCTATCGGCGATGTATCGCCGATTCCAGGTCGATGCATCCCCCCCTATGCCAGGCCCCCCCTATCGTTGCCCCTCAGGAGGGAGGGGAAGAGAGAGCGAGCAAAGAAGGAGGATGGAGAAAGACAAGGAGGCTTCGGATGTGTTTGTGTTTTCTGGTTGGAGAAAGGAGGCTCAGGAGACTGGCTTTTCACCCGTAAGGTCGGAAAAAGGAGTGGGAGGGAGAGAGGAAGGAAGGAGGAGAAGGCTTGGGAAGCTGGTCGCTTATCTCGTTCATGGTAAGAGAGAAGCCGAATCTCGTTCATAGTAAGAGAGAAGAGGGAGAAGGAGGGAGGGGAGCGAAGAGGAAGGATCAAGCAGAAAGAGGACGAGGAGGAGGAGGCCTAAGAAAGCGGCGTTTTTCTTTGGTGAGCCCCTCAGGATTTGTCCCGCGCCCAGGCGCTTAGGCTTCCGCGCTGCATGCCCGAAAGCACCGGACTTGCGGCGTTGTCGTCGCACCGCCGCACTGGATAGCTCACAGAGCTGGTGGACTCCAGGCGAGGGGGACATTGGGTCAAGAAGCGCGTACACCGGACAGCTGTCGACTCCAATTGTACCGACGTGGTCGGTAGAATTAGAACTTAAAAACCACACGATCTCTTTGAATGTAGAAATAGCAACTGGTGATAATAGTGTTTGTTGTGCTGTATGTTGCGACGCTTTGTTTTCAGACTGCTTTTGTTTTTCATATTCACGCGATTCTCCATTCCTTTTATATAAAAAAGAGAGAGCGGCAAATACGTTTTGTCGCAGCGCGGGCGCTCGCTCGACGCGGGCACGCCTTGACGGTTATTTCAATAAGCGGGAGAAAACGCGCGTACGCAGCCAACCCACAGGCCAGACGAATTTGGGTCGCTTGTTGGGTATCGACGCATCTGAAACGGGGATGCGCAAGACTCGAGTAAGCCGGAACTCGGGATTGCCGACGTTTTTTGACGAGCGCGTCCTGGATTTTGACGGTCCAGTTTTCATGGGATGTTTGCAGTGGGAGTTCGCGTCGTTTGAGTCTCGTCATTTTCATGATGGCTGCGTCAGGCCAACCCGAGTGCCCCGTATCTGAGTCTCACGTATCCCCGACTAAAGAGGATATGGAAGTGGGCCATCCGAAGAAACAAATCAGCCAGTTGCCCAATGATCACGACGCGCCGCCATTTGGGAGCCCCCATCCACGACAAGGGGCAAGCCCAACGAAAACATGGACGGCAGGTAAAAAGATGCAAGTACAGTGCATCCAGACTTGTCAGAGTGAGGGGGCCGAACGGTCATTCACTGTCCCTGGGTGCATGGCTGAAGTGGAATTCCGCGGTGCGGATTCTCGTTGTTGTTTGTTGTTGTTTGTTGTCGTCGTCCCACCCGCAACCCGCCCCGCGACCCACCCGCGACCCAACCCGCGACCCACCCCGCGACCCACCCGCGACCCACCCGCGACCCACCCCGCGACCCACCCCGCGACCACCCCGCGACCCACCCCGCGACCCACCCCGCGACCCACCCCGCGACCCACCCCGCGACCAGCCCGCGGCCCACCCCGCGACCCACCCGCGACCCACCCGCGACCCACCCGCGACCCACCCGCGACCCACCCCGCGACCCACCTTCGACCCAAACCACGTTCAAGGTACAAACCACCATTTTCGGCGCCTGCGGCGGGCTTTTTTTGCATTCCTTCCAGGTGGAGAGCCCGCGACCCACCCCGTGACCAACTCGCGACCAACCCGCGACCCAAACCACATTAAGGGTACAAACCACAGTTTTCGGCGCCTGCGACGGGCATCTTTTGCATTCGTTTCCGGTGGAGAGCCCGCGGCCCACCCGCGAGCACGTTCAGGGTACAAACCACATTTTTCGCAGCCTGCGGCGGGCATCTTTTGCATTCGTTCCCGGTGGAGAACCCGCGGCCCACCCGCGACCCAAACCACGTTCAGTGTACAAACTAATGTGTTGTGCGCCTGCGGCGGGCTGCTTTTGCATTCCTTCAAGGTGGAGGTGGAGAGCCCGCGACCCACCCGCGACCCAAACCACGTTCACTGAACAAACCAATGCCGCACAAGCGCGGCGGCGGATTTTTGCATGCCGTCTGAGCCCGCAAGGACCTCCTCAAGCCCCGCGCATCCACACCAGCCCGTCCAGCAACTTTGCCCTGGCGAGTTGCCTTGATCAGAGAAGTCGGGGAGCATAAAGTGGAAAAAAAGATTGCGTTGCAGTTATCTTGGGAAAGGAGGGTGAGGCAGGAAGAGTAAACAGGGGACGAGGAGGACGCGGAAGAAAAGAGGATGTAAGGAAAATGTGGAGAAAGAAAAGGAGGTGGAGCAAGAGGACGAGGAGGGGGAGGAGGGGGAGGAGGAGGACGAGGAGGGGGAGGAGGGGGAGGATGATGATGATGGACGACAATGGGAGGACGATGATGGAGGCCGATGAGGGGGAGGACGACTATGGGAGGACGATGATGAAAGGACGAGGGGGGGAGAGGGAGGACGAGGAAGAAGAGGAGAAGGAGGACGAGGAGGAGGAGGAGGAGGACGAGGTGGAGGAGGAGGATGACGATGACGATGAGGACGAGGACGAGGAAGAGGAGGAGGAGGAGGAGGAGAAGGAGGAGGAGGAGGAGAAGAGCGCCATCGACAGGGAAGGTGGGGGCCACGAGGTCTGCCGGCTCGACGACGCCCGCGTCGCCCGCGCCCGCCCCCTCACTCTTATCCGCAATTGCGGGGTGCTACGTAGCGTTATGTTTAATACTGGTTAGAAAAGATATTTTCCAGTCATAACACCGACACTGCATTATGAGGGCACCAACCCAGCCGCGCTAGTTTTTGAGAGCCACGCACTTTGGTGGACTCTCTCTCTCTCTCTCGCTCTCGCTCTTTCTTTTTTATCTCTCTCTCTCTTTCTTTTTCTCTCTCTCTCTCTCTCTCTCTCTCTCTCTCAACGTACTGAATGAACAGATGCGCATATACATATACATATATACATATACATATATACACATATATATATACATATATATATATATATATTATGTGCATGCGTCTTCGTTTTCGCGACAGGAGCTACTGCCAGGCAGACATACCCGTGCAGTCACAATAATTTGTTTCACTGTGTTCTTCGACACCTCATGCGGGCGCAATGGCGCGCCTTGTGATCGGACTGACGCTTATGGCGCTGCTGGCGCTGGTCGTGCTGCTGGTCGGGCAACCGTTTGCAAAGCCTGGGCTCGGGCTGGCGGCGACGATTAATCTGGAGGAGATTGCTGGCGCACACGACGCACACGCTGAAGTTCAGGACCCACACGCCAGCGAGGGTGCGGATGATGATGCAAACAACACCAGCGAAGTTGAGGAGGGTCATGCAGACGACGGCCACGAAGATAGCGATCATAAAGGTGGCGACCATGGAGATGGCGCCCACGATATCTGCCACGAAGTTTCTGACCTTGGAGATGACACGACTACGGAGCAGGACAGCGCTCACAGGAGGCAATCGGGGGGCGGCCACGACGAGGAGGTCGATCCCACCAGCTGTGTCGTGATGCTTGTACTCTTCGGCAGCCTGGTCATGTCGGGGGGGAGGGAGGCACCCGTGCGAGCGGTAAACCGACTCGAGTGAGCTGGCACGAAGACGCTTCGCAGTGCACCAACAGCTGCGGCCGGAGCCAAAACTGAAGCGCACAGAAAATGGGATGGGCCCACCCTGCAGGTTCGGAGCACACCTCATCGTCGAGCGGTGGTGCGGCCTCCCCTGAGCACAGGCCCCGACCCCAGAGCATCAGCCAGACGAATCGGGCTTGCACCCTCGCGTCTTGCTGGGCTCTGGGCGCGTTTCAGCACGGCCACTGCCGCCGCCACCCGTTCATCAGGGCCACCGACTCGGGTGACGGCGACAGCGACAGTGGCGGAGGCCGACGTGCCCAAGCCTGGCGGCGCACAAAGCTAGACTGCGAGGAGTTCGATATCCTCTGAGAAGGACGGGGGAGCAACAGCAACGGCAGGGAGGGGAGACAAGACAGGAGAGCAAGACATGACAAGACACGGCAAACGTGAGGGAGGCACCCGTGCGAGCGGAAAACCGACTCGGGTGAGCTTGCTCGAGAGCGATTCGCAGTGCACCAACAGCTGCGGCCGGAGCCAAAATTGAAGCGCATAGAAAGTTGGATTGGCCCACCCTGCAGGTTGGGAACACACCGACTTGGTGCTGTTCGTCAACCGACATACGATTGAGAGGAACTTGTGGCATTATGAGCACACAGTGCTCGTCGAGGTGGTGCTCAACATCTTGTTCCTCTCTTGTGTTGTCCCAGTGTGGGCCCATCATTTGATTCATGCCGCTGAAAAGGATCGAGCATACCACAAGGCTTGCACTGATGCGGAGGCGAAGAGCGAGACGCAGTACATGCTCATCCGCAGCCTTTTGTGGAAGCTGTTCCTCTCGTGCTGCTCTGTTTGGAGAAGATGCTCGTTCTGCAAAGGTCGCAGAGCAAACACCTGACTGAACGGAGCTCTATCGTATGTTTTCACTGCGCGCCTCTTCGGTTATGCCCCAGAGAAAGTTATTCCGGCCGGCCTGTGCATCCCCCCGCACAAGCCGTAAGACAGCGCGTTTTTCGAATGGTCGTTGCAATAATAATTCGGTCTCGGTGTGCCCTGACTGTATTCGAAGTCGCCGCCCTCCACCTCCCTCTTCCTCCTCCCCCTTTCTCCGTCACCCTCCTTCCTGCTGGAGTGTCATTTTCATGGGAGCGGCATTCCGCCAGTTTACATCAACATAGTTGGCACTTCCATGGAGAGCCGAACCGAGGCGAACTCTTAACGTTTAGCGTGCCCCCACCACTAGAGTTTGGACGAATTTTGAACCGCCTCACGAGGCCGTTGACCAAAAGTACCTCCACCAGTCGGATGTCGTCCAGGTGTGCCCGTCGGTCTAGTTCGTCTCTGACGGTGTTGTCTGTCTGACTCACACCGAGCGATCGACCTCTGCGTGTTCATGGTCGCGCCGCCGCGCCATTTGGGCTGCGTTTACTTGCTGGTCGCCAACGGGATTTCCACGCCACTGGGTTTGGGAGTATCTGTTTTGGCTTTTCTTCTGAGTGGCTGCCCGCTCGCTCGCTTCGCTTGCCTTTCTTCTCCTGCTGCCTAGTCGCGGCCCGACTAGTGTTCGGACGGCTTTCGACCCGCCTCGCGAGCCTGTTGACCAAAAATACCCCCACCAGCCCATCCAGTCACGATGCCCAGGGGAGCTGCCCTTATCGGAGGAGCGCGGCATCGTGTTGGGCGCTTGGGGGGCCTCTGTGATCCAGAGGCCTCTTGGGTGCCTCTTGGAGGCCTCTTGGGTGCGCCTGGGGGCCTCTTGGGGGCCTCTGGGGACTTCTTGGGAGCCTTTTAGGGGCCTCGCGAGGGTCTCTGGGGGGCCTCTTGGGTGCATCTTGGGCGCCTCTTGGGCATGGCCCTCTTGGCCCTCTTTCGGCGGCTTTTCGGGTTGTCTTGGAACCATATTGGAACCATCTTGGAAGCTTTTGATCGAAAAAGGAGGCACGGGGGCGTGAATTGCGTTCGCCCGCTCCCAGGAAGCCAAAGTGGACCCAAAACTTGGGAGCCATCTTGGGCGTTCTGATTCGGCTCAAAATCATCGTGGTTTGCATTTTTGTTGAGGTCAACTTGGGCGTTCTGACTGCTGTTCAATGCCCCCGCCCAAACCGAGGGGGGGGGGGGAGGGGGAGGGGGAGGGACACCCACCCACCCCCGAAGGGGAAGCCGTTGTCGTAGGCGGCGCGTGCAGCGGCGTTGGCGTCACCACCGCCGACGTCGGCGTCGTCGTCGGCGGCCTGCGAACCGCGGCAGCAGCGCCCCGACGCGCGCGCGCGCGCAGGGGGGCCCGCATGCCGCCGGAGGCGCCAGCCGCTGCCACGGCGGCGCTCCTGTCCGCGGCCTGCCGGCGGCAGCTGTGGGGCCTCGCCCTGGCGGCGTTGGCGCAGGCGTCGCCCGCCGCCCCCCGGGGGGAGCGGGCTGAGCAATTGCACCCCCGCGTTGTACGAGCGTGTGGCTCGGAGCCGTCTGGGGGTCCGAGGTGGCCCAGCAGTGGTCCTGGCCAGCAGGCAGGGCGGGCAGGCTCGAGGCTCCGGGTTCGGGGAGGCCCTCTGTCTCCTTCGGACCACGGGGGCCGTTTTCGGGCCGCGGGAGCACTGCCGGAAAATGGCCCGTCGCGTGACTCGTGGGGCGCGTCGCGTGATCTGTCCCGAGGTCTGAGGCTAAAGACATGATGGAGGAGGAGGAGGAGGAGGAGGAAGAAAAGAAGGAGGGAGTAGCAAGAGGAGGAGGAGGAGGAGGAAGAGGAGGAGGAAGGAGGAGGAGGAGGAAGGAGGAGGAGGAAGGAGGAGGAGGAGGAGGAGGAGGAGAGGAGGAGGCAGGAGGGAGGAGGGAGGAGGAGGAGGAGGAGGAGGAGGACGACGACGAGGACGAGGAGGAGGAGGAGGAGGAGGAGGAGGAGGAGGAGGAGGAGGGGGAGGAGGATGTGGAGGGTGGGATGGGCCCTGGGAGGGGTCCGGGGCTTCGCCCTCCGCTCCCAGATTGGAAGTGGGCTGCGGTAGGCTCGTGCCCTGTCGGCGCGGCAGCGGCCCCGCCGAGGGCGTCCCGGGCGCTGCACGCCGCTGGAGGCCCAGGATCGGCCAGTGTTTGGGAGCCTTGAGACGGGGGTCAATGCAAGCGGGGGTCAGCCAGAGCGCCGAATCTTGCAGGATCCTGCAGGGCCAGGGTCGCATTGACCTGGGCTTGGGTGCAGGATCCTGCAGGATCTTGCAGGATCCTGCAAGGCCTGATTGACCCAGGTCTGGATTGACCAGGGTCAGAAAATCCCCGAAATGTAGAGCGATCTGGCGATCGAGAGACCGCCGATCGTTCTAGACTGAGAAATCAACGCGGTGTCAGAGGCCAAAGTCGAGGTCGTCAAGAGACACGAGCCCGCCGTGCACAACTGCATTCACACGCTCTTCGAGCATATGGTGATGATGGGGCGCGCGCTCTTGCCAATCGAGCAGTTTTTCGCATTCGCATGGGAGCATGCAGCGCCGACGCGCCGAAGGGCGTATGGTAGACCCCTCCTTTCCAGAGGGGGAAGGGGGTGGTATCGAGGAGCTTCTCGAAACCAAGATTCTTGCTTTGTTCGCGGATTTGGCGAACGCGCGAGTCGGTCGCAGCAAGCGCTGGGCCACAGCGAAACGAATTGTGCATAGGGTGCCGAGGCGAAAAAACATCAGCAGGTCGATCTGGCCATCTCCGGCCCTGCCCTGAGGCCGTGATCCCCAGCGGCTGCGAGAGACGAGAGACGGTGTATTGCTCTGGCGTCCGCAGCGCCAGTCGACGCTCTACCTCCGGGCCTCAAGGGGATCACAAAAGAAGCCTGACAGCACTCCAAGACGTGTCCAGGATCCAAGGGGTCCATCAAGGACGGTCGAGGGGCGAGGGCCGAGGGCTTGAAACGGTCTTGGCGAGGCCTCTGGACACATTCGGCGGCCTCCCCAGCCAGACCTCTGGACGGGCTGTTTTTTCCAGCAGCTGCGCCTCGTCGAGGAGCGCGGTTTGGGGCGGGAGGAGGAGCGAGTTTTCGGTGTTGGGGATGAGGGACGAGGGAGCGAGGATCGCTCTCCATGTGTGGTGAGATCGAGGAGCGAGGTTTAGGGCAGCTCGGATGGAGGAGGCGGAGGGGAGAGGATCGAGGAGCCAGGTTTTGGGATGTTTTTGTTTTTGTTGCTGAACTCCAGAGGCCTCTAGAAGTCCACGGAGGCCCCCAGAAGCTTCCAGAAGCCTCCGTGGGCTTCCAGAAGCCGCGTTAGCACAGGCCCCGCCCTCCCAGGGGGAAGCGGGGGGCAAGGATCGAGGAGCGAGGTTTCGAACACAGGGTTGAGGAGAACAGTTTCGCAGGGTATGGAGGAGGAGCGAGGATGGGGTTGTTTTCAATGCTATGTTTTGGTATGGCTTCGGAAGGCCTCTCCAGTCGTATCCGCGGGGACGCCGGCGGACCCATGGAGACACCAGGAGGGGCGCAGACTTCTGGGCGTCGCACGACGAAATCACGACGAGCGTTTCTTGTTGTTCAGCGTCCAGGGTCGCTCTCTGGGCCCAGAGACCATCGAAAAGTTAGCCGAGGCGAAAGAATGTCTTGGGAGCTGGCACTCTTGGCCATCCTCCTCTGGGCCGTCTTGGAAGTCTCTTCAGGCCGTCTGCGGCCAGTCTTGGACCATCCCGATGCCCTCTTGAGCCATCTTGTGTCCCTCGGGAGGTCCTATTGGGGCATCTTGGAGCCACCTTGGGCTATTTGGGAGCTCAGTTGGGCCGTCTGGGGCGATGTTGGGAGCCTCTTTGGGAGTCTTGGGCGCCGTGACAGCCAAACAGTCGAATATACGAAAATCGCTGAAACAAAAACATACCGAAAATAATAATGCAATTTGCCGCTCGAGGCCCTCTCGAGGGTGCTCTTGGAGGCGCTCTTGTAGTCATTGCGGTCTCTTCGGGCCGTCTTACGGCCATCTAGGAGTTTCTTGGGCCTTCTTGGACCGTCTTGGCTGTTCTTGCCGTTCTCGCGGGCCATCGCCGAAGCCTCTGGAGGCCTCAAGAGCCCCCCAGAGCCTTGAAAAGGCCATGTGCCTCCTGGGGCCCAAGCGGGTTACGGGGGGGAGTTTTGCAATAGTAGCCCGTGTGCCCGGTCACCGCTCATACCATATAAGTCACCATCTCAGGATTCATTGATGACGCATTATCTGCGAGAGTATGCTTAGAGGCCCACCTACGCATGGTCAAGCAAGAGTGGTTACAACCTATCCAGGAGTGTTTGTTGCCAGTTTTATTCGCATACGTGCCGTTCCCTGTATGTGAGGAAAGATCTTCCAGACAGCACGTGTACACGGGGTGCGCCTTGCACGCACGATACAGAAGCGTTGCTCCTTCTGTCTTGACTGGCCGACTGGCTGACTACCCACTGCTGGTTCGCACGCCTGGCCGTCCAGTGACATGCTGACCAGCCCTGCCCCCCCGAGGCCGCAGCCCGGCGGACCGCACCGCCCTGGGCTCAGCAGGGCAAAGTCCATTGGCCGAGCTGTGGTCGCCGAGTGCGAGCCCACCGGGTCAGAGTCGCCGACACTGGCGTGCGATGGCGGCGCCCTGACGGCCCTGGCCGTTGCGCCATCTCCCCATCACCGCCGATACTCGCAGGAAAGATGTCCGTGAAAACGTGCGACGGAGGCGGGAGCAGGCACTGGAAGCAGCGTGGGGAGTGGCAGCGATAAAGCGCGTAAAAACAGTAAGAGCCATATGGAGCAGCATGAACGAAGTAGTCTGTGACAGGCGTGGCATTGCAAAGACACACGAGCAGCAGTGTATAGATGTAGTAGCTGCTGATTTGGTGAATGACAAGTGTGCCAAAATAAAAGTAATGGCAGCTGTGGCTGCAACACTACGTTGTTACGCGTGGTAGCGATTCGCGGTAGCTCTTCACGCCAGAGCAAAGACATTATTAGTAATAGGATGAGTACTAGCGGCATTGCTTCAGCAGCTCGCGTATCACGGTGTTGCTTTACAAGTGGCATTCACAGTGTTTATTGTTTTTGTGGTGTTCGACGTAGCCACAATAGCAGTAGTGGCAGTAAGCATTGGAGTATTCACAGTGGCGCCACGTAGGCATCAGCGACAGGGCATTAGGACATCAGGAACAGGGTATCATCAGAAGCTGCAGTGTATGTGTGATCCGATGTAAGAGGACCAGGAGCAACATCATGAGCGGCAG